GCTCCCACATGGGGGAGCTCTGCTCAGCCACAAGCCAGGCTGATGGCTGCCAGTACAGCGGTGGTGGTGGGAGCCTCTCCTGCCTCCTCAGCAGCGCTAAGGATGTCTGACTACAGCTTAGGCCTGCTCCCCGCTGGCAAGTGGACATCCCCCGAGGGCTCCCGGGCTGCCAGAGGGATGTCTGACTGCCAACTTAGGCCCAATCCCCCGGGGAGCAGGCCTAAGCCAGCAGGTGGTCATCCCCCGAGGTGTCCCAGACTGCGAGAGGGCACAGGCCGGGCTGAGGGACCCCGCCCCCAGAGTGCACAAATATTTGTGCACCGGGCCTCTAGTTTATAAATAAGAAGCTTCACCAGCTCTCAAACTACAGTCTGCCTAAGAAGCACTTACACATGTCAAGGCCTACTAAGGAATTCACTACGTCATGAAGACCCCAGGAATATACATTTTAACAACTGCTTAATAGCTGCCCATAATGCAGATAGTCTATCCACTACATACAGAGAAACAATACTTTAAACACTCCCAGAAATCCTTTAAGCCAAAAAAAAATAGGCTATTTTAAAATATATACATTTTTTAAGACTCTTCTTTCTACTTTAAGAACATTAGGCAAAGAAACCTTTTCTGAATCTGTATGCTTTGAGCACTATAAAACACAACATTTTTATTATCTTTACCTGAATCTCCATGGCTGCTTCCTGTTCTTTCATTGGAGCATCACTCTCAATTTCTATTTCACCCTTATGAGTTATTTTTGTGATTGGTCGTCTTTCCACTTCTCTCTGCTCTTTCTCAATCATCTCTATGGTCTAACAGAAAATATTTTTAAAAAAATAAAGCTCAGCAATAAAACATAATAAAGAAGTGTAACAAGAACTAGTAAAAGGTAGATGAGAATGCAAGAGGTTAAGGAAGGTAAAGATGGGTCCGGTTATTTACCTCACCTTAGTTTAATACAAATCATCATTTAAAGAAAGAAATCAGGTATAAGGCCTAAAGATAAAAAAGCTGGTCTTTACTGCAGATGCTACTTAGAGCCCAGTTTCAAAGAAGAAAGGCATGTGCATATTTGGGATATGGAGAATAAGAAGAGGAGATACTATTTTCAAAAAATAAAAAATAAAACAGCCCTGGCTGGCATGGCTCCATTGGTTGAGTGTTGTACCATGCACCAAGAGGTTGCCGGTTCAATTCCTGGTAAGGGCATGTGCCCAGGTTAGGAGTTTGATCCCCAGGAGGTGGCATGCAGGAGGCAGCCAGCTGATGGTTCTCTCTCATTGATGTGTGTGTGTGTCTCTCCCTCTCCCTTCCTCCCTCTCACTAAATTAAAAAAAAAATTTTTTTTTAAGTAAAATAACAGGAGAAATTACACAGTCTGAAAGTAAAGAAATATGTGAAAAAGCAGATAGAACCAAGATGGCGGTGTAGGTAAACACCGGAAATTGCTGCCTCGCACAACCACTTCAAAAATACAACTAAAAGACAAAACAGACATCATCCAGAACCATAGGAAGGCTGGCTGAATGGAAATTCTACAACTAGAAGGAAAGAGAAAAACACACTGAGATTCAGAGGAGGTGCAGAAGTAAAGTGCAGAGGTATGGAGGCGCACGCGGAAACGGCTGGCAACTGAGGACGTGGTTGTCTTTTTCAATCGGGAGGGAGTCTCAAGC